CTGCTTTGTTCATCACTGTGTCTGATTCATGACCACCTGGGGCCGTGATGGCTTGTCCTTCTGTCTCTGGCACTCAGTGGGCTTCTAGCGTGGGGTAACCACGGGTCAGGTTCCTTAGAACATTCTTACAGATGTGTTTGGTGAACACATGAATAATTGTTGTTGGGTATTTACGAAAATCCGTGTCCGCTCATTTATAGGAGCAGAACTGTTGGTGCGTGATGTACCCATATGTTCGGCTGTAAGAGATGCTGACCACTTCCCCAAGTGGTGGTACGAATTTACATCCTCCAGGGAGTGCAGGGGAACTTTGTTTTTTCCACTTTCTCCGAGACCCTTCCTGTTGCCTCTTGGCCTTGCAGGAGGGTCCATGTACCGCGTGTTCTAAGCGTCCTGGGTTGGCGTGTGTGCACACACAGCAAGCCTGGCCTCAGAAGCAAGGGCCTCATCTTCCCTCCTCCTCCCCACTCACCAGCCACGATGTCTGCCCCTGGGGGCAAGGGGTGGTTGGCAGGGGCAGATGGGGATAGGAACATCACAGTCGCCCCGACTCAGATTGTCACAGGTGGCTCGCGCCTGCTTTCTCACAGAGGCGTTTGGCAGGTTCTTCTCAGGCTGACACCATCACATGCCCAGCTTCAGCCTGCCAGCACAGGCCTGTATGCATCCACTTCCCCTCAGCTGGGCTCTACTGGATGGGACCTAAGACCATGTCTGGTCCCTGGGGCCCACCTCTGCCTTTGTCTCCTGCCCAGCCTGGGCCTGGGTGTGTCCAACAGAGCAGCACCCTCCTGGCTCCGCCCCTGAGGCTGCCGGCCAGCCACTTGCCTTGGGGACTCCACGCAGAAACTGACTGGCCACCCGCCCACCGTGCATGGAGCCCTGCATGGAGCCCGCAGCGCCATGGCAGCTGCTCCCCCGCAGCCTGAGTGAGAAGCAAATGCCTGCCTTCCTCTATGGACGGGACCCGGGCTCAGCACACCGCCAGTCCTTCAGGATGCTGCTCAGCCTCCAAACACTTCGGGAGGCACAGGCCTTGAGGCATCTTGTTTAGAAAATAGGCAAAGGCTGCTGGGGCTGGGAGCAGGGAGGCCCATGTCACCGTCCTAGGGTGTGTCTCTTGTGACGTGGAGTCTGGAGCGGAGCTTTCAGCTGGACCTCCTGTTACAGAGCAAGTGAAGAGAAGAAGGAGGGAGGGAGGGAGGAGGGAGGAAGGAGAGAGAGAGGAGGGAAGAAGGAAGGAAGAGGGAGAAAGGAGGGAGAGAAGAGGGAGGAAGGAGGGAGGGAGGGAGGAGGGAGGAAGGAGAGAGAGAGGAGGGAAGAAGGAAGGAAGAGGGAGAAAGGAGGGAGAGAAGAGGGAGGAAGGAGGGAGGGAAGAGGGAGGGAGGGACAGGCCTCCAGCATGCCAGCATATGCCAAGATACATTCTTAGATAAACCAGGGACCTCAGGTGGGCATGAGAAGGGGACTTGGCAAGGGCAGCCTGGACAGTCCCCCAAGTAGAGTGAGACGTGGACCCACCGGGAACGCCGGAAGGAAGCAGGGCCTAGAAGCCACTCTCAGACAAGTCTGCCACCGCCACAGGAAGCCACTCCCTTCAGATAAAACCATTCCCCAGAATGTGACCAATGGGCAGGGCGGGGGCTCCACCAGAGAGAAGTGCTGGTGGCTTTCAGCGGTAAACACCACCACCCGCGGAATGGAAATTGACTGCGTCCCTCCACAAAGCAGTCCTTTCTCATCCCGGAGCCACGAGCAACATGACCTTCGAATGTGTCAGCAGCTCTCGGTCCTTTGACAGCCAGCTCCTTTGACTTGGCCATTTGGTAGTGACTGTGCAACCTAAGGACGTGTGACCCAGTGGTGGCACGAGGTGGCTGGATCTCAGTTCTGATGTGGCAACTTCAGCCTAAGCACGTTTGTTCTGGGTGTGCGTTCTCGGCTTGTGATGAGAACACAAGCCTTCAGCTCCTCACTGTGAACAGCACTGCACTTGAGGGAGGGGAAGGGGGTGCTTCCCTGTCATTGCTATGGTGCATGTGTACTTTTGCTCTTCAATTTAAAAATCAGATCTTCTACATATCTTTGCAACTAGGGAAGAGAAAGTGGGTCTTTTAATTCCAGAACCACGGTGCACACATCACACTCCAGTGTGAGATCTCCATGGGCTGGGCAGGAGCTCAGCGCCTGGCAGATTTCAGCTTGCAGGACATCTCCCTTGGGGGCTGTGTCTCATGCCCTGCGGCCAGCCCTGCCGACAGAGCCCTGCTGCTTCCTGCGCTCCCAGTGGTGATTCCCTGTGCCCTGAGTGTTCAGGTTCTGCCTCTGCTGTGAGCTGAAACACTTTCTCTGAAGAGCCCTCACGGTACAGAAACAGCGTCTTTGGATCCTGCTGAGCCCCTACCCCCAGCCCACCGCTGCCATGAGGCGCAGGCACCAGGCACTGCCCGGAGCTTTTCCAACCACCTGCACTTCCATTTTCCAACAAAGGCCAAACAAGAGAGTCACGAACTTCACTTGCAACCTGTTGGCAAAGGGGTGGGGAAGGAAAAGCGCAACCAGAAGAAATAACCATCTTGACAAACTTTTGTGCACCTACACACAAAGTCTTGCCTTCAGCTCAGAGACGCTTGGACTCAGGCCAAGTTTCCCTGCTCTCATGCATAGCAGAAAAGCTTGTCAAAGAGCTGGGAGCTTTCAGCCAGCAGCGGTGGGGATGGAAAGATGGAAACGTGTCTTCCCATTTGCACCCCCTCAAAGGAATGAGCGAGCTGTTTCTCAGCCACAGTTACCCATTTTCTTAAAAGATTCATGTCAGGAAATCAGCTTCATTAGACCACACGTTGTGTGTTTTGTGTATGTAAATGACACCTCTGCCTTGTGGGAGTGGGCACCCCGGAACTCCGGCTTCCATGACACGCAGATGCCGAGTGACATTGCAGAACGCAGCCTGTTTGCTAAGGCTGCATCTGTTTGCTGTTTCTGACACTTCCAGCGATCAGGCCCCTAACACTCCACATTCCCTAGGTCTCTTGTTAGAGCCAAACATATAAACCTGCGGATCGAGTTCCTCCAGCGTGGAGAATGAAAATAAAGAGCAAATGTGATTCTGAAGCAGACACCAGCTTGGGCATGAGAGCTCTGATGCCTGTGTGCCCAGAACCTGCAGAGTTGGTTCTGAGAACTGAGGTCAAGAGGCAGCCCCGTGCCACTGCCTTCCTCCTCAACACCACCAGAGAGGCTGGGATTTTGCACCCATTAGATAAGTATTGCATTCCTCCTATCCCCACAGAGCTCAGCCCAGGCTCCAGGGAGACCACAACACACAAGAGAGACGTGGGCCCTGCCTGAGGGAGCTTACAAGTGAGCTGGAAGGCACAAGTGGGTACTCAGATGTGTGAGCCCTGATGAGCTCGGGAAGCCCGGCATGGGTGTTCTCACATGGGTCAGGGAATGCTGCCGACAGGTGCCTGGGCAGCTGTAGGGCTCCACCTTCCTCTCCGCACCCCTTTGCATAGCCTTGGAGATGGCACTGTGATTGTGCTGGTGACTGTGGTGGGGACACAAAGTCATTACCCTAATGAGCCCCGGCTCTTTGAGTTAGCGCTAAGAAAGGGCAATTACAGAAAACCATGTTCTAAGATGTGGCTGTGTGTGGAGCGCTGCTGCATAAAACAGACTCGGCTCATCACGACTTCCTTCCTTCCTTCATTCATTCATTCACTGTCCTAGGAGGCTTCCCATTTCTCTTCCCCTTATCTCGTCTCCCTCCAGAATTGTCCACAGTGAGCTCTCAAGCTCAGTTCCAAGACAAAAAGTTGGGAGAGGAAAAAAATAAAAACTAGCTTTTAAGATCCAAAAGTTATGGGAGCAAGAAGGAAGCCAAGCAGCAGCCGGCATCCCTTCCCCACGGGGCCCAGACTTCCAGAGCTCATAGACCGTGGAAGATGCAGGTTCACTTCGCGAGCCATCTCTGAGTGAGAGCCTTCCGGGTCCACTGCAGGGGCGTTGGTGTGTTTGAGCGAACGACAGGTCGACTCCCATACTCGCCTATAACACCTAGGAAGGTCACTGACCTCAGGTGGAAATGTGACCCGATAGAAATCTGGCTTTCTGGAGATGGCCAGGAGAGTGAGCTAGGGCATTCTGCCAGGGTAGTCCTGACCACAGGGGCCCGCCAGTGGCTTGGGGTCAACCCTCCTCAGCATCACATGGGCTCCTGGGGCACAGCGCCTTGGTATCATCCCATCCCATCTGCCAAATGAGCCATTTTACTCAGGTGGTCCCCCCATCTCCTCGTGACCCCAAGAATCATGAATTTGATTATACCAACACCCGGTCATGTCATTGAGCACTCAGGAATATAGGTATTAGTTTTACATAAAATGATTTTATTGATGGATGAATTTTACCACTTCCAGCCATGTCCAGGGTGGGGGCGGTCAGGAAATGAATGACCCACGGCCATGGCAGGCGAGGTAACGGAGGAGGAATGTCTCAGGTGTCCTCCAGTGGGTTTAGCGGTCTTATGCCAGTGTTTCTCTAGGGAAATGAGAGCCATCATTGCCTTCCACACACCTCCAGTGGGTAACAGAGATTCAATAGGAGGAAGAAATAGGTGTTATTCAAATAAATGCACCGTTCTTGGTTAGAAAGAGCAGCACTGGAGGAGTCATAGCTGGCCCATCCCTCAATACTGGTGCTGCAGATCCAGACCCCACACTGCTGAAACTCAGTTGGGCCATTCCCAGCCTTCTCTTATTCCCTTGGGGCCAAGCAGAACAGAAGTCTGTCTTCCCTGCAGTGTGGGAAGCAGCGGCAGGCCCCAGCCCCACAGTTAGAGACCTGCCCTGGTCACAGCAGGGGTGAGCACAGCTCACCCCCGGCCTTCTCTGCATCCACAATGCCTTTTTTGAATCAGGTGCCATAGATGAGCCCTCCGCTGACTGCTTTTTCCCACTTGCTTACCATAACTTCCTTTTTCTTCTCCAACTCTGCAGACCAACAAAGCCGTGGCCAAGGGGGACTTGCACCAGGCCAGCACCAGCTCCCGGCGGGCCCTGTTCCTGGCAGTGCTGTCCATCACCATCGGGACCGGCGTATATGTGGGCGTGGCTGTGGCCCTCATCGCCTACCTCTCCAAGAACAACCACCTGTGAGCTTCCTGCGAGTGGACGGGGAGCACCCAGGGCAGGTCTGTGTGGGCATGGAGGAAGCAGACATGCCGCATGACGCAGTGCAGTGCAAATGATTGCCAAATGACGCCGCGAAGCCCTGGGATTTCCTACCCGTGGATTTCTTTTGTTTTTACCCTTTAATTTCATGTTCACAGCACTGTGTAGAGCACCAGACAGACGGGCACTGCTAATCCTTCCAAAGGAAAGCTCCAAAGATCCCAGCCCACAAGGCTGTCTCTGGATAGGTTCTGGTGGATGAATGGCAGCGTGGCTCTCTGCAGCCTGCCAGTGCCCAGAGTGCCACCGCATTAGCAATATACAAACAGTCCAAAAAAGTGTTTATTTTTATGGAATACGGTGCAATAGGCAGAGGACAAGGGACACGCCACTCTTCTGTCTGTGGCCCTGCTGGAGTCCTTTGTGTCCCCCCGAGTCCACATGCCTTCCCTGCAAGACAAGAATGGGGCTGGGAAGGAAGAGGTGACACCACGCTGGCAGGACCCCCGCTGCACTGCTCTGCAGACCCATTGGCCTGACCCCGAGACACAGGGCCAGCAAAGCCCAGGACCTGCCCCCGTTCCTTTCCCTTCACCCTACCCAGCCTCGGGATGTCAAGCCACCTCCGGAACATGTCTACACTCCACAGCTACCCCGCAGCAATACGCACTCTTGGGACCTCGCTGATCCAGGATGGGGAGGCAGGCCATCGCCCCTCCCAAGACTCCTCAAGAAACTGACCTGCGGTTGCTCCAGAAACTCGAGGCTCTGCAGCCGTGAGCACCGCCGGAGCCTAAAGACACGGGCTCTTCCCAGTCACGGCGCTGGCGGGCATTCACCCCATCATAAGCAGACACTAGTGATCCCAGAAACGAGATGGGCCTTACTCTGTCGACTAAATGAATAGCTATTTTCTTGTCATTTTTTTAAGTGCAACTCTTGCTTCATGCTGCTTAAGTTACCAGACGAATGCTGAGAAATAAGTAATCACAGACATTTTAATACCATTTCATTGCTGTTTTACGAGTGTTCATTACTTAACAGAAAGTTATCTTTTAGCTTTTTCGCTTAAGACTTTTATTTCTGATGAACAGCTGTCGTTGGGTTTCATTTATATCTTCCCCTTGTGGTTTAAGGAGCCTCGGAGCCATCCAGGCCTCCACTGCTGAAACAGCAGAGGGGCCCCAAGGAGAACCCAAGTCCCTGCCACTTCAATGTCCACCAGTAAATATGATTGTCCTAATCCCCCCAGTGGCTGCAGAGACCCCCCTCTCCAGGACAGTGGCTCCACCTGCAGCACTTAGCAAACCCCTGAGGCCTGGGGCAGCCCCAGGCTGATTCGATTGCTCAGGATGCGGCCTGGTGACTGCAACGCCAGGTTGAGAACCACTGCCCTGGAATAAGGACTGTGGGTTCGATCCTTCTGCCCACCACTCTCCTCCTTAACCTTGAACATTTAGTATTCTGAAAATAATTAGCACTGTCATCCCGGGTCAAATTTGAGATCTATCTGGCATTTCTCTCTATGGGAGGGCTCAGCAGGGAGTGTAAGATTTTAACCCTAAGAAGAACTGCCAGCCAACAGCCCTATAGGAGTTAGAGCCACCAGCCTTGGAGGGCATAGGTTTAGGGTCAAACCAACTTGGATTTGAATCCCGCTGTGCTACTTTCCAGCTGTGTGATCTTGGGTAAAGATATACACCTCTCTGAGCTTTGTCTCTAAGACAGGATAATCATAAGGCCCATGGTGTGGGTTGCTGGGGAGTGCGTGAGGCACAGGCCATCAGGCCTGGCAGGAGCAGGTGGTCGTGGCTGCCATTGCGTCCTTGGCTGGCTGTCCCATGGCTGGTCCGTGGCCCTCCATCTCTCAGGTTCATTTATCACAAGACATTGTGTGAAACGGGCTTCTTTGTACTTGTCCTGAAGTGATCCATTTTAAGTTCCAAGGGTCCCCAAAGGTGTGTAGCTTTGGATTTGGTGAAGAGGGAGAAGCTGTCTGTACATCCCCACTCATCATCTGTCTACACTGTCACAGTCACCCTGAGCCAGGCCCTCAGTGCCAGGTACTTGGCCTCTGCGAGACCAACTGCCCATCTCATTCCAGCCTCTATTTACAGACGGAAAAGCCTCAGCTCCCGGGGGCTTGGCCTTATCTAATCTCAAGCTCTGTCAAGTCCTTCTCAAGGGCTTTACCTGCGGGTGTGAATGTCATAGGTGGGCACAGGGGACAGGGCCAGCTGAAGGCAGCCATGGGGCCCAGCAGCTCACCTGGCAGCTAGGCACAGTGTGTGACAGCTCTGTGACCGGCTTGGCCTTGGTGGCAGGAGACATGACTGAAGCTCATCTTTGGTGGCTGTTAGTGACTGCTGTCAGCAGAGCCATCTTCTGAGTGCATCAGAGTGACCTGTGCCCTCTAAACCTGCCTCATTCCTGTCAGGCCCTCATGGCATCCACCAAGCAAAACACATAATCTCACCTCCTTCTCCCCATAGCCCCAGCAGGGAGGTGTTCCCACCTCTTCCCCAGGTGTCCCTGCCTTCCCAGGCAACACCTCACATCCCCAGGCATCCCCTGCATCCCCAGGTGTCCCCACCTCCCCAGGCATCCCCAATTCCCAAGACATCCCCACCTCCCCAGGCATCCCCAATTCCCAAGACATCCCCACCTCCCCAGGCACCCCCACCTCCC